AAAAAGGAAGAGGAGAGACCACAAAGCTTCTATGTATCTTACTTTGCTGGGGGTTGGTCATGAGCGAGTTGCTCTGAACACAGTCACCATCTGTCTTTGGGGTACCTGGAAAAAGAAGATAACAGCAATGTTAAAATTCTTGTGCTGTGAGACAGCGTGAGTGCTGGCATCCCCCCCCAGGTCACACAGGTTTCCGGGCCAAGAGTATCTGCAATGATTCGAGTGCGTCGGCCTGACTGGAAAATACCCTGCATTTACCGGCAGCCCTTAGACATGGTTGTAATGTCTTTTGAAGGGAGGCTTGGCAGAGAAAAGCTGCTTCCCATCCAGCCCCCTGATGCTAGCTCTGGGTGTGGGAGCCTCCAGAGCCCCCAGGTTTTCTCGCAGCCAGCAGCTCAGTGTGCTGCAAGGTCCAGGCGGGCAGGCAGGTCGGTGCAGCCTGGGCAGTGGGGGTCTGTGAGCAGGATGGGCTGCCAGCCCCAATGGGCAGCACAGGCAGGGAAGGGCCAGCTAAGCTGGAGTTGGCGTGAGAGGGAAGGTAAATGCTTCGCCACAAAAGTCAGGGTGAGCAGGATGTGGTGAGAATAGCGAGATGATCGAGTGTCTGGAGATCTTCTACAAGGGCTTGGACAACAGTGCTGGGGCAGTGGGGGTCTGTGAGCAGGATGGGCTGCCAGCCCCAATGGGCAGCACAGGCAGGGAAGGGCCAGCTAAGCTGGAGTTGGCGTGAGAGGGAAGGTAAATGCTTCGCCACAAAAGTCAGGGTGAGCAGGATGTGGTGAGAATAGCGAGATGATCGAGTGTCTGGAGATCTTCTACAAGGGCTTGGACAACAGTGCTGACACTCTGCAAAAGCTCGTCTTGCAGCAAAACCCGCCAGGAGTGGACCCTGAAGTAAAGTAAATGAAAGTCGGGATTTAGTGCGAAACAGCAAACATTGTGGAAAAGCCCCCCTAACCCAGCTGTGTTTGCAAACTGAGCTGTGTAAAGTCTCACATTCCCATGGGCAGGGGAAAATTTCCTCCGAATGTCTGCGGTTGTCCTGCGGCTGCTGGTGCTGCAGGGAGGGTGCCACCGGGGGGCAGGGGACCGGGGCTTAGCAAGGGGCATCACGGTGAGGGACATCACGGCAAGGGACATCAATTCAATGGGTAGTACTGGAGGGGAAGTAAGAAGGTGGAATGTACCAGTTGAAGGGTGGAGGAGAAAGGTGAAAGAGAAAAGAAAGGTGCGAAGAAGAGAACAGAGCAATAGCAGCCACTGTTCCTGAAAGACACCTTTGTGGGTTAGTATCCATTGGGGCATGCAGGGTCTACACCCCCGCTGAAATCAGGGCAAAAGCCCTGCACATAGCCCTGGCAGCGAGAAACTTGCAAAGTTGATGAGACAGAGCATGCCAAAGGGATTATTTTTCCCAGTTTGCAGCCAGAGAACTGCAAAAGCATGGCAAGACTAAACAAGGGACTCAAGGTCACAGAGCAAACCTCTGGCAGAGGGGAGCAGAAGCTCAGCCCAGCTGGTAGCTTACGGAGCTCAGCCCTCGTGTGCCTTGGGGCTGCCTTGGCTGACAGACTGCCACTGCAAGGCACAGAGCGTGTGTGAGCCGCCAGACGGCTGGACAAAAAGCTCCAGCATTTGATATAGGCATGAGTAAGAGGTCGTGGTCTCCTTTGGGTACTCAAGGGCACTTGCTTGCCACGTCTGAACATGGAGAAACTTGTTTGTTGTATTGCACAGGAGGGAGAAAACCCATTCCCTAATTCTTGCCGCCTGGTAAGGGCTTCAAGAAGGAAATGTTCTGAGCAGTTTTAACTACCCTTTTTTTTTTTTTTTTACCCTCTTGCCAGGACCGCAGCACATTTCTTCTCCCAAGGTTTTCCTCAGTTCATTTCTCCCACTCTTCAATAAAACCTCTTTCAACTTCTGCTTGCCATGTGCTTTTTGTCCTGCAGGTGTATGAACTGGATGGCACGCAGCACAATAAATCATGGTCTGTGTCAACCTATCAGGAAGTGACCAGGCAGTTTGTGAAGGAACACCCTGACTTTCTGGGAGCCAAGATCATATTTACAGCACACAGGTAAAGGCTGAGTGGGGCCAAGAGCAGGTCTGCGTGGCTGGCTGTGCTGCAGGGAAGCAGTGGTGGGTAGAGAAAGGTCTAGGCCAGGAGAAGCGATGCTGAGGGCTGGGCCAAAGTGCCACAGTTGGTTAGCAACGCCAGCATGAGTCGTCAGACCTGAGGCATTGACTCCTGAAGCATTCCCTGGCAAGTGTAAAAGGCTGAGGACGAGAAGTCATCTATATAAGTCTGCGTACGTGCAAAGTGACCAGGGTTAGCTCATGGCGTGCACTGGAGAGACGAGCGTCTGTGAGCCCTGCGTGTGGGAACAAGCAAGGGGAGGACTGCTCGCATGCGCGTGTGTCCAAGCTGTGCATGCTCTCTTCCCAAGCCTGGATGTATTCCTCCTCTCAGTGGAAACAGAAGCAAATGACAGCAGTGCCCGACTCTGGGCACTTGGTATCACAAAGATCCTCATGGGACCCTACAAATGCTGTTCTCCCGGCAGCCTCTGTACGGTATGTTCGTGCTGCTCTTCACAGGCGGGCACAAGGCTGTTCTCCAAGTCAGCCAGATGCCATGAAGTCATCTGAGGTGATCCTGAGCAAATATAACAGACCTTTCAGCAGCACTAACTCACTCTGGCTCGGCACGATGCTGTTCCCAGTTCAGAGCTGGCTTGCCTCTGGCCACCTTGGGTATGGACGGAATCTACCTGCAAAATGTACTGTGATGTTTAAGTCCAACAGAGATGGAAAAAAATCTAAATTTAAAACTCTCTTGGAATGCAGCTACTATCCCACCTCCCAGTGACACAGTTGAGAAGGAAAAAAAAAAATCAAACCTTTTCTTTCCATGCTGTTGTGTTCCCTGCTTGGTAGATGGGAAAGCCAGTGAGTCAGACAAGCATGACTCAAGTGACAGCAGGGTCTAGCCAGGCACTTACTGGTCATTCATGGGTTTCGTTTCATAATACCAATTTTCTACTGCTTTTACTCTGGAGACCTGAAGATGGTTGTCAGATTCAGAAGCAAGTTGCATTTTGGAAATACCCCTGGGGGTCCCATTTCACAACTCAAACCCAAAGAAGGCAGGCCTGTGGGAGTGAGCCTCTGCACTGCTTTCTCTCTCTTGCTCTTTAGGATGCTGAATGTTTCCCAGATTAAAGAAGCCATCGTCACTGCCATGGCACTCAGAGACAACTTTCCAGACACCCTGGCAGGCTTCGACCTGGTAACTGTATTTCTTCTGTGGCTTCATGTTAACCCCTAGAGGTGCGATATAACTACATGTGTAACGTGTCATACATTTTATACTGGAGCCAGATCCTTTGCTGCTGTACTGAAATCAGTGTAAACGAATCACAAATCCTCCAGCTAAGTATTTTGTTGAGAGCAATTGACAAAATTCCTGGAAAGAAGTCTGCTTCCTACCCCATAGGCTTGTAATTTCAGTACAGTTGGCACCTCAGTTGTTAAGTCCCACCATCTTCCAGCGCATGTTCAAAAATACCTTTCATCTTTCCCCCAGGTTGGCGATGAGGATGAAGGTCACTCTTTATGGGACCTGAAGGATGCCCTGACCATCCCATACTCCCTGGGGGTCAACTTGCCATACTTTTTCCACGCTGGGGAGACTGGTAAGCATGAGGACTCAAGGCCTGTTTATTGCTTGCAGAAGCAAGAGGTGAAGTCTTGCAAAGCACAGAAGAAGCAAGCCTGGCTGTCTCAAGATGATGTATATACATGTGTCTGTGATCGATTTTCCCTCTGCTTCTCCCCGTATTAGCTTGTTGCTGTAGCATTCCTACATGGCGTCTCCCCTACCTCTTGCCTGTAGGCATCATGTTTCCCAGTATCTTTGCCCTATGTGTGACATGGAGCCATGCTGCAAGAGCGGTAGCCATCTCCTCCTCGAAGCAGTGCTCACCTCCTATCCATAGTGGCAGAAGAATTCCTCGAACATTATTTTATATTTTAAGGTGAAGGAATGTCTAAGCCAGCCTCAAGCCTTAACTGAACACACTCATCAAATTAACTGATCGTTACCCTTCATTCCTGGGGCAATGGATATTATTGGCAATATATTATTCAGTCCATGCAGGAGGCATTTATGCTAACCATGCATGACAGTCATGTCTAACTTGTGTGTTATGCTTATTGCATGTTGACATCTACAGAGAAGATGCCAACATCTGAGCTAGTTACCCTAGGCTCCCTTCATAGCCATGGACAGTAACAAGCCATTCTAAGCTGCAATATCTCTCATCCTAATGCACAGGCTCTTCTCCAGAAATTATTACTTCTCTCTATTCGCTGTGAATGGAGACCAGGATGATCACTGTGGACATCTAAAGTGAGGTGAAATGAGTGGGTATCTCTATGCTAGGCAATGTCCTGGGCAGGTTTGGATCTCTGTATCACTGAAAATGCTAACTGGGAACTTGGAGCATGAGCAACCCTCTCACTTTGCAATTGGGACGTTTATTAAGAAAATCATATAGCAGTTTGAGAAGATATATCTCACAACACTACAATGATTCTTATCTGTCTCTGCTCAGACTGGCAGGGCACCTCTGTAGACAATAATGTGCTGGATGCATTGCTATTGAATACCAGCCGGATTGGCCACGGACTTGCCCTCATTAAACACCCAGTAGCCAAAAATCTATCTCTGAAGAGGGATATTCCCGTGGAAGTCTGTCCCATCTCCAACCAGGTATGTTGGTAAAAGCTTAGGACTTGGGGCTGGGATGCTGGAATGGGATTTACCATAGCAGTAGCAGCTAGGAGCTGCAGGGAGCTGGGGGGCAGCTAGAGGTTTTTTTGCACCCAGGCTGGCCCAGTTTCCTTTGTGCCACATCACACTGCAGTCTGCTGTGTAATATATAAGTCTTGTAATGCCAGTCAGCCCAAAATCATTTAAATTCCTCTCCAGAAGAACCTGGGAAGGCCCTCCTCTCTAGTGGTGATGAAGCCCAGAGCCAGGGAGGTACCTAAAGACACATGATGAAAATACTTCAAAGCCACGAGGGCCAGAGGCTGAGAAGCTGGCATTGTAACTGGGAGTCTTTTGGTTTTGTAAAATTCATAACCAGGAGGAACTGTTTTGCAATATATTAGCTTGGTGGTGCATTGGTCCCTGGGCGCAGCAGAAAGGATGCTCAGGGGCAGAGATGTATCAGCGTAAGCCTTGAGGGAGAGAACCCGATACCAGCTCCAGACATCCTGGGCTAAGCATCATGGCAAATACGTAACCAAAAGACTGTTCCCAAAATGCTTACAGTCAAGCTGTTATTTGTGAGCATAAGTTATTCACCCCACTGGCCTTGATTTAGGCGATTAATTTAAGAAACAAATCTCCTTGTATAGTCAGTGTAAACAAATAGGCTCTCCTGCAGCAGAGATCCTAACACGCTCTTGAACAGTCGTCTGGAGGCTCTTCTGAGATGACCACCTGCTGACACAGGCAGCAATAGCAGGCAGGCAGTGCGACAATGCAAACACAGCTACAGCAATAACCTGATGAGGTGTTGCCTTCTACCCTTCCCCACCAAGGTCCTGCTGTTGGTCTCTGACTTACGGATCCACCCTGCAGCTAACCTGATGGCTGAAGGGCACCCCATTGTGGTCAGCCCCGATGATCCCCCTATCTTTGGGGCAAAGGGAGTCTCCTATGACTTCTATGAGGTGTTCATGGCCATTGGAGGGATGAACGCTGACCTGAGGACCTTAAAACAACTTGCACTCAACTCCATAAAGTAAGTTCCTCATCTCTCTCATCTAGCCATAGTAATGCTGGGGGTGGGGGGGACGACGACTATCAGCTTGCTCCCTGGAAACCCACTGCATTTGGGTTTTGGCCCTAGAGTCTCTTCTGCCACATGAACTGGGCTTCCATTAATCCAAAGTCTTCTCTGTATGTCTCCTTCAAGGACAGGGCACACAGACCCCAGAGGCTCCTTGGCCCATGCCCTTGAGCGCCTTTCTCTAACTGAATGCCTCTGTTTATTCCTCCTTTTCCATCTTTTTCAAACTTGCCTCTAGCACCTGATTCTGGGTATGGGAGAGATATTATATCTTTTTGTCACTTCTGTGTTTCTGCCAAAATTGTACTTGCTTCAGCATTTGCCACAGCCCACTGGGGAAACGTAGGAAAACAATCTACCAGCATGTAGTTTGGGTGTGTTTAACCACTTTTTCTATTTATCTGGACAGCTCTCAATGACCAAAAATAGTTTGCATATGGTGCCCAGGGTCTTTGTGCACATTCCTAGTCTCTTGTATGTTTGCCAAATCCCATGCCAATCGTCACATCAATTCCAAAACCCTGTATGGCCAGGGAGACAACAAATACTCTTATTTCCTACCAATCTGGACCAAGACCAGGGCAGGTCTGAAAGTAACTGCAATGTTGTCTCTTCTATACTAGTCACTGAGTGCCGCCCAGCAAGTCTCCAGCTTATGCAGACTGAGCTGTTTGCCCTCCTAGTGCAGGACTCAACGGCTGGTGGAATGGCCATGATGCTTCTTAGCCCAGCATGAGTCCAGATGAGAAGAGCTACAGGCTCTTTCTTTACACTCTGTTACTTTGTGCAGTGTAGGCATGACCTGCAAGGGTTAATCTGCTGCTGCTTCCTGCCTTTTCATTTTGGTCACTGATCTTGAAATAGCTGCCCCCTTGTCTCCTGTCTGATACTGAGTTTTCTCCTCCTCACAGATACAGTGCCATGCTACCGGATGAGAAAGCCAAGGCCAAAGAGGTCTGGCAGAAAAAATGGGACCAATTTGTGGCTGACCTCTCTGATAGCTTTTTGAGGGAGCTGTAGAAAGGAGGAGAGTCATCTCAGAAGGCATTTGGCAAGCTAGAGCGAGCCAGACTTACTGCTATGAGGGAGACTGCTTCTTCCATGTGACCTGAGCAGATGAACGAATCTCAAAGTTTCACCTGGCAATGAGTGATTCTGATAAGCTAGGCTTAATGGGCTTAATGCTAAGAATGAGCTGCACTATCCTCTGAAAGTCATGGACCGGAGGTAAAAGGGAGCAGTGAGCCTTTATGGCAACAACAGATGAACACTCCGCTCGGAATAGTCAAAACAATTAAAAATTGCCAGTGACCAAATCCTGACATCCTTATTCAGGAAAAAACATGCTTTCTAATTAGTGTTAGCAGGAGATTGCCAACACGAGGATCTCTGAATTTTGCCTTATCGTTACAAAATGCAGACCTTGTCCGGAGACAGCTAAGACAAACATCCAGCCATTTGGGCCACTGACCTTCAGGAGAGCAAGGACTGAAAATGACTCTTGTTATGTTTAACCCTAGGCCTGCTGCCAAAATAGCACTGCTAGGTTGAAGAACCAGTCATAGGTCTGATGTCTGCTATTTCAGGACCTACCATGGCTGGAAATGAGCTGATGGAACTTGCTCCCAGAACATTTAAGCCTGGTTGCACAGTGATCGTAAAGCCAAAAAGAGGTGCCTCAGTTGCTGATGGGTTGTTACTTTTTTATTACTGCAGAATCTTTTCCTGGGAAGTCACAAGGAAGCCAAAACACTTTTCAGCAGAGAAAAAAGACTCTGGCTTCCCAGATCCAGCTTAATTGTAACTATATTCCCCTGTACTGGGCCCTGTTAACACAGGCCTCTGCATTTATAGGAAACACCTTTTGATTTCAGGGGGTTGTATCACTAGCCTTTATTGCCTGAGTGCAGATGTGCCCTTATTCAGCCTGTCAGACAGATTTTCACCTTGGTGGATATCCACAGCGTTCACTCGGACCTCTGTAGTTTCCAGCTCTTTGGCAAAAGAGGTATTGCAGCAACTACACAGTAAAGAACATCTGAACAAGCAGATTCCCTTTGTTAACATCATTAAAAATATCAGGAAAATAACTAGTTGCAGGGAGATTTAAAAAAAAAATGAATAAAAAAGAGAGAGAAATCTTAATCAGGATGCTAAATAAATTCAGTAAAATCCCTCAGCACGCATACCCCAAAGCACACATCCAGGATGGATCAGCATCTCTCCCTGAATTTAGTACACCTATGCTGGTTTGCATCAGCCAAGGGAGAATTTACAAAAGTTCCTGAAAGAAGTCTCTCTGCCCTAAGCTGCAAACTTGCAAGAACTGTTACTTCCTGATCTGACCAGCTTGGGCAAATTAGCTCTCTTTATGTTTTCTGCTAATTGTCTCAAGCTGCCTGGTCCTAGTGTTTATTTCCACCGACCTCCGTTAAAACACCTTAGCAGGAGGCAAATGTACTTTCTACAGAAATGAGTCAAGCTGTGCAGCCCGTACATCCCATATTAAATTGCCCACATTTCACAGGCTGCAAGTTCATTTCTAGTTATCTCAGGGAAGAAAAAAACCAAAACAACCATAACCACCACACTACAAACATCATAACAAAAAAACCCACAAAAAAACCTCAGATAAAACCACAATAAACCAAAGGTGTCTACATTGCAGGCACCAGCACCAGCAACCACAGAAAACAAAGAGCAAAACCCCAGTCACACTCCTTGCTGATGCAGGGTTTTGAGTGGCTCGCACCCCCAGCCCTTTTCAGCCACAGCTCCCTCTACTGCAGCTCTCTCTGCCTACACACTCCATACCTTCCTCTGAAGCACCAGCAGCTGCTCTTTGCAGGCTGGGCCTTTTTGGGTCTCAATGAGGGTTTGGTCCTGGGATGAGCTTTATACTGGAGGAGGAGCCAGGGTAGAGCCACCTTCTCTCCTCCTCCATTGGGTGTTGCTTACAGAGCTCAGTCTAAAGTCCCTAAGGTAGGATTTGGTCATGGTCAGATTATAAATGCTGACTTGGGATATGTCTTATTTGTAGTGCTGCTGAGGAAAACTGCTGCAAAGAGGGGGAATAGCTGCTAATTAGTGACCCAAAGCCACATCTCCCTGAGCTCCCTGATCTTCCAGCTTTGCTGTATCTATCATAAGTATGTGGATGGATGAAGATCTTCCATTTATCATGAGTTAATTTTCCCTTAAGTGAGCCTCTTCACTGCCAAGGTGAAGTTAATCATTACAGAGCCGTTGTGGGAGGAGCTGAGTTCCTCAACACAGGTTGACCCATGTCCCTTCCTTTTCTGCCACAGTGGAAAGACTTCAGCTATTCCTGAACATGATTTCTTGAGGGCTTGAACTACCAAGGACCTTTTGGTTACCTGTAGTCCTCCATCCTCATTACATTAGCAGCAGGGCTTGATCTTCTGTTTGACAAATACTTGCTGGGACCCGTTTACTTCTTGTGCCCAGTTTGTTCTTGCTTTCCTAGTAAAATCTTGTTGCACACTTGGCCATTTACCTGCTTTGCGTCAGAAATTGTGATGTGGCCCAGTGTCTGGGGACACCAGTGAGTGATGTCATTTGGGATTATAACAGAGAAATCACTGAGGGTTTAAAACCATACAGGTCTGAGGTGATCTTCAGATGAAGTCCTCAGACAGGTGAAACCTGGTTCTGTATTTGTATTTGAGACTAGCCTAGTGACTCCCCTTCTGCTGAAAGTATCCATCTTAGGGTTGATCAGAGAGCAGAAACATTTCCATCCTGATCATATATATTTAAATGTGAATCTGAACCTCATGGAGAAGCATGATTCCAGTGGTGTAGCTTTCCTTGGATTCCCACCTTGAACAGGGCATTGCCATGAGCAGTGATTGGGGCTTCCCAAGAGTCCTCTGGCAGTAGAGGGTCTTTAACCATTTTTAGGGCCTTAGAAAGTCTGACAGAAGGAGGGCCAGCCTGCTTTACTGCTGGCAATCGATTCTTTCTTAGAGTGGACCTAAGTTCAGAGAAAGGTGCGAATTGACACGTTCGGCCTGCATCCTCACCTCTCTTAACTCTAGACGTGAAAAAAGGAAGGATTTAGGCTGGCCCTCAGCAGTTAAGAAAGATCAATTCTTTCAGATACCCCCAAAGCCATGGGGCTTCATTAAGACTCAGCTCTTAGCATTCACAGTGACATTTCAAAGATTTTGCTGCCAGTCCTTTCACTTACCCTGGGTACCCTGGCTCCCTGCTCACACTCCATTGGCAAATACATCACATAGAATGCTTTCTTGCCTCTCTCTTTCAGAACATAGTATATATTTAAATCTGTTTTAATCGTGGCATTTATTTTCCCTTATTTTTTTCCTTAAAAAGAACTGGGGACACTTGTATTTCCCATTGGGTCCCCATGTGTTGCCTGATCTAGTCGACAAGTGGCATCCCTGGCGACAGGGAGGCTGGATTAAAATGATCTCTAAGGTCCCTCCCAGCCTAGGCCATTCTATGATTCTATGATGAAATGCTGTCACAGGTCTAGCAGCGTTTCACTGCAGAGCAGCTCAGACCACCTTTGGGGCACTTTGTCAAATGAAATGTGTCTGCCTCCTTGTCACTTGTTGTAAGGAAATGGCTGATCCAGCACTAGTAGTTGCTGTCTAAAATCATGCCAGTAAAAACAGCAGAGTAAAGTAGCAGGTTGAAAGTAGAGATAGGCCTAAGCAAGCAGCTGGGTCTATACGTCATGTAAGCATCCATCAACACAGTGGGACTACGAGGATGCCAGATGCTAAGCAAAGCCCTCTGGCCATAAAACACAGGGCTACAGAGGTGTTTTCCACTAGCTCCTGATGCCTAGCCTGCTTTAGGTTTTTCTTCGAGAAGTCTCCTAATTAGCCTCTTCACAGATTTCTTCTGTCAGAAACTTGTAGCTCTAACTGGCTCGGTTCTTAATTCCTTTTCTTCCAGGCTTGCAGCAGCTGCAATCACCGCAGGTCTATCAAGTGTTTTCTGTCCACTGAGGGACAGGCAGGTGAAGGATCTGGCTCTCGATTCTCCTGGCTTCTCATTTTTATCAGGCTGTGTCCTCCCCCTTGGTCGTTACAGGATAAGAAAGGCATTTTACTGTATTTCCTCAGCCTTTAGCTTGTCCATCATTCCATGAGCAGGCTGCACCAAAGAGAACAGATAAACCCAGGAGGAGAGGGCTGGTTCAGGCCATTAAAGCTTCTTCAGTAAGAAAAGAGATGGAAGGTACAGCTGGGAGCGGGGGTGGTGAGGGTGTACCTGTGTGATGACAGGGCTATGAGGCCAGGGAAAACAGAGCTGCAACTGCCCATTTTGCTTGTCTTCAAAGGCTGCTATGAAAGGGAGTGGAGGGAATATTTAAGTACTGTGTAGACAGGGGAAGAAGAGGGCTGGTTTGAGAATGGCAGACAGACCATCTCTAGGGATATCAGGGGATATGGCTGGTGTCAGATGTGCCTGCTGAAGAAATCATAAGGTCCATCCACATGTAACATACAAAATTAGAAGCTCCAAGCAGAGGCACAGAGAAAGCCTCCACTCTTGAAGGGAAAACTACACGACTGGGAGGATTGGGGTTAAAAGCAGGCACCGCAAGGCGCAGTGCTTGGCAGCACAGAGCTACTGGTCCCTCATGCATGTGCCAGGCTCAGCCTGTGCCCGACCACTGGCAAACTCCCTCCGTGTTCATTTAAAAATAAGCACTTCAGCCTGTTGGACAGTCTTCCTTGTAAAAATAAACACAGCAGCTCTGCCAACCTGATGGGAATGCTCGCTGGGGTGGGCACACGCTTCGGGGGCACCTTTTCAGTGGTGGTTGCCCTGCTTGGCACC